TCTGTTTGCTTAAAATTTCTTTATTTGGAAATAATCTGACAATTAGAGAAAAGACATCTTAGAAGTACAAAGGATATCCATGTTCCTTTAGTCAGATTCACTGATTGTTAACATTTTTATCCTGTTTATCATTTGCGCTCTCTCTATACACATATTTTTTCTGAATCATTTGAGAATAAATTGTATACATTATACTTCTTTACATCTAAAGACTTCAATGTGCATTTCCCAATAATAAAGATATTATTTTACATAACCATGGTATGGTTATCCACTTCAGTAACTTTAACATTGATGCAATACTTTTATCCACTCTACTGCTTATATTCCAGTTTTAAAAAATTGAACCAATAATGTCCTTTATAGAATTTTCCATCTCATATAGGATCCAGGCAAGGATCATATATTATATTTAGTTCTCACGTCTCTTTAGTCTCTTTCAATCTGGAATAGGTTATTTAGCCTTTCTTTGTCTTTTATGATCTTAACATTTAGAAAAATGCAGCCCTCTTGTTTTTAATAGTCTTACTTTGAGGTTTGTTGAATGTTTTGTGATTAGATTCCAGTGATGCATTCCCTACTATCACATAAGTTATGTTGTATCCTTCTCATGGCATCACATCTGAGGCAAACAACTGTTCCACAATTTGGAACACTGCTGGTATTCAAAAAGATATGTTATCTGATAGGTATATGAGGAAGCCCCTTCTCTTCTCACACTGCAGTCATGGTGATCTTTCAAAAATGAAAATTTGATCGTGCTACTCTCACTTAGTAAAAATAACAATTCAAAGCTTCTCCCCTCTCTTCCATATCCATATTCTTCAAGATCAACTCCAAATTAACTTACAAGGCCCTACAAGATTTGCTCATTAATGCTCACTATATCCTCAGTTCTCAACACTGCTACTCTTGTTGTCTAAGTTCTAGGCATCAAGAGCTAAACCACACATAGTTCCTGTAATACACTATCTTGTACTCACACATTGTTCCCTCAGCCTAGAATATCATGTCCTCTCACCTAATGTCTCCACTGTATAATTCCTTCTCCTGGGGATTCAGGTGTGATGGCATCTTCTCAGCTTTTTAAGATGCCAACTTCTCTTACCATGAAAGGCTGGGTTGGGTGTCCTTGTGTTTCTGCAGTCTCTTATGCATTCCTATGTAACAGTACTTATCGTACCTTATTTCAATTGTCTGTTTACTTAGCTATATCTCTTACTGAGAGCAGAGTCTCTGTCTGAGTCATCATTTTATCCCTGGCATCCAGCACATAGTGCCTGCTGTGTAGTATAGTTGCTCAGAAGTACTTGGTGAACAATTCTGAATGTAGATAAGGAATAACCATAGGAGCAAGTTGCTAGAATGAAAAGAAGTGGTCATTAAGACTGAGGAATTCAAATAATTGTAAGGATATTAGAGGCATTATCTACATAGCCTCTGACTTTAGTCAGGATGCTGTTAAGAGGAATGCCAAAAAATAGGAGGCAAAAAAAGCTTTGTGAATATGGAGAAGTGAGCAGCAGTCAGTAGGTGATGGTAAGAAGGAAGAGAAGTGGGAGAGTCAGAGGCATCAGCCTCAGGGAAGGTGTTTGGATATGACGATTGACAAGGAAGGTTTAAAAAAGGCAAGGATGCTATGCCATGTTCTACTAATCCTACAATATGTGGAAAGTGGGAGAGTGAGCTTCCTCTCCTGCAGAGCTGCAAAAGAGATGGTATTTCCTGGTCCTCACTTGAGGTCGGATTGGGGCATGTGACTTGTTTAGGGGAATACAATCATGAGTAGAAGTGAAGTATGGCAGTGCCAGACCCTCTAGATCCCTCCTTCCCTTCTAGCATGGCAAAAGCAGTATCTGAGATGGTGGCTGCTTCATCAGCATAGGTCCCTGAGTGACTATGATGAGGAGACCTTTGCTGCCAGCCCACAATGAACAGGTCACACAAACAAGCTTCAAGAATTGGCATTCTAGTGAGAAGGCCAAGACAAGACAATTACATTGCAGTGGTTTGCTGACTTCACAATCTAGTTACGGGATGGGGAAAATCTGAGATCTTTATCTGATCTCATTGTAGGGGAAAAATATCACAAACCACCTCATTTCTCTCACATATTTATCCCTTCTTAGGACTCCTACAACTTTAGGATACCTGGGAGTAGACATGGCCAAACTCCCCCACCATCAGGCAAACCTCAGAAGACTTCCCTCTCCCACTTTCACTTGTCTTTCAAAGATGACAGAAAGGGACTCACACTGAGTTGCTACACATACATGGCTCTAAATGTAAAAGGAGATGGAACTAAGGACTTAGAACCTAAGATGGGCTAGAACCCACTCGAGTCTGTCCTTTTCTGTGGAGGGCATGAAACATCTTTGTTCCAGTGTTTATGTTCATGTGCTCATGAAGTCCTCTGAAATAAGACACCTGGAAATAAAACGCCAAGTTCTTCAACCCTTTTGGGTTGCCATAATTCTGAGGGAAACTACAACTACTGAAGAGGGACAAACAAGCAGAGTAATTCAGGTTCACACCACTTGCTTTCTCATTCTGCTGCCTTCCAGGTCAACAGAAGGCAGAATGCCTTCAATCCGTACCCTCTTAGTAAGCGAAGTCTCTGTCTTGACTGGGTAGGCATAGATCCTGGGATAGTCAATTTTTTCCTGCTTCTGGTAACAGAATCCTTGTAGGAAACCCATTTTACATAGTGTGGGTAAAGATAAATTCCACCCCGCCCTGCGCCATGTCAGAGCACCCAATTCCTTTGGCCATAGTGAGTGGTTCAAGGATGGGTGTGTGATCCAAGCCATTCAGTCAGAATCCACCCTGCAACTCTTGATAGCACTACAGACAATGAAATACTCTCTTTTCTCTGGAATACACGGCTGTCAGAATAACTCAAGTCAAGAGCTGCCAATGACCATCTCTGCCATTCTGCCTGCCTAGGAATGAAACTAGTCCAGAGGAAAAGACCTAAGGTAGCAAGAGAATGATCTGATGACATCTTCACAACACCTGAATGCAGTCATGCGTCAAGCCAGATCTAACCCTTAAACTCTAATCATGGCAGCCCTTTTGCTTAAACTTGCCTGAAATGGGTTTTCACAGAGTCCTGAATAACCCACTAATTTTAAGTCACCACAACATGAGATGCATGGGTCCTAAGACTGGGAATTGAGTCAACTATACATAAAATAATCAAATGTTTGGTAAGGCAAAAGTAACATTTAAGACGGTAGCTGCTCTGCGTCACCTTGGGAACATAACTATCGATCAGCAAAGACTCCCTTCCAACCCACAATGAACAGGTAGCACAAGTTAACCTTAAGAATTGGCACTTTGGTGAGGGGTATATGCTTTTTGTATACTAGAGCCTGGCATCAGAGAATGGAAAACTAATCACAGTCATAATAATACAACTCTGCAACATGCTTGAGCTTACAAAGCATTCTCACATATGTAATCTCATGTAATCCCCACAGAAACTCTCTGAAGTCAATGTTGTGAATATTTTCTTAGGTTTTGGCCTTCTATCGGTGTGTCGCTGACTTTTGGAAAATAGCTCCTTTTGGGAGGATAGATGGGGAGGAGGAGATAAACTTATTTATGCTGAAGTTTACTATTCAACTGCAGCAGACATGTTTGTTTTATCTGTCCAGCATCCTTGGATTTCTTTTAGGGAAGCAGTCCTTCCTCACACCAGTGTAAGCTGTTTGAAGTGGGCAGACTTCACCCTCCCCTGCTCCAGGGTTTTACATGGACTCAGGCCTGGTCAATGAGAGGACTCCAATTCTGAGGCGGTAAATGGCTCAGTGATCAGCATAACTCAAGCAAAGCTGAGAAGTAGCCTTGGGGGTTTTGCTGGAGCTAATATTTAGAAAGAGGTATTCTCCTTGGGATTGTAAATGCTAAGAACCATACTACCTTGGAATTGCCAGCAGATGTATTTGTCATCACTGGAGGAGACTGATGAAAATATATCCAACAGAGAGGAAAGCACAGCAGAGATGGAGGTCAACAGTTCTTGATCTAGCAATGCATGAGTCTCTGGTTCCACCCAGATATGTGAACTTTTCTGACATCATGACAATGTGTTTATATGTGAATTGGTGGGAGTGGAGAGGAGGATGAGGTATACACATTTTATATATAGTCAACTCAATCTAAGGGCAGATTATCTGGTTTATGGACAAAGATTAAAAATTAAGAGGTTACACTGTGAAAAATGTAAAGAACAACAATTCAGGGGAAAACATCTAATTTATTGAGGGCATTAATTGGAACTACAAGGTAATCCATAGACGCCACATTTTATGTATTACCACTGGGGAATACCCATCCTCCTTGCCAATAAAACCTATAGTGAGGGACAGCTCATGTGGCTGTGGATCCCAAGACTGCCCACTTGGGACCTAGAAAAGAATTAGGTAATGAAAGGGAGAAAGCAGGGATAAAGAGCTTCCAACTTGAGTCCTGTTGTAATAGTAAAAAAAAAAGTAAGAATTCTAATAAAATAAAAAATTATAAGACTTTTAATAGATAATTGAACTAATTAATTGCCAACTAATTTGAATAACGTTTGGTATTCTTACACTATCATTTTTATACTTTTGGGTGATGTCACATTGTCCTCCCAGAAGCTAAATGTAATTAAAAATTTACACTAAATCAGTTTTTCCTATATTTTGCCCAGTTTTAACTGTACTTTTTACATGAAGTTCTTCCTTCCCTTTTTTCCCCATTACCCCTGCTGGGTGGTGCCTGTACTTGGCCTGAGGCCTCTTGGCACCATTTGGTAGAAATGACCTTCTTCTACTTTTTGACCTTCTCGCAGATGCATGGGCTGCTGAGGGCAGTCCCCAGCTCATGTCTCCAGAAACTGTGAAGCCAGATGAAAATTAGAAATGTCCATTTCCTGGATGATATGGAGATACTTTATGATTGGTCTTTCCTTACCTCTTAAAATATGCTTCAATGAGAATTTAAAAAGCAATTTAAAGTTTTTGACAAAAAATAGATAAACAACATCTTTATTGAGAGTGGGCCAGTAAGAACACTCAAATTTGGTTTATAGGTAACCAAAAACATTTGAAAAGAACACTAAAACTTCCAAGAGTCATGTCAAGTACAAATACGTAGTCAGATTGAACACCAAGCATAAAAAGAACAAATACTGAAATGCAAAGGGCCAGAGTTCTCAGTAAAACTAGCTTAGAGCAAGTCCCTTAACACTATTTAAACTGCAGTCGGATTACAAACTTGAGTCTCTGGAACCATCAGATGGCTCCTGGTTAAGTGATACTCAGAAGGAAAAAAAAGCAGATTCCATGAGGTCTCCAGGAGGCTGTGTAGGGAGCAGCACCAGATGGAAGAAAGAGCAGAAAGAAGTGAGGCCCCTTCTTTGAGCCAGAGCAGGATGGTCACAGTTCTAAATCAGTAAACAAAAAGTGTGGCAGATACACTCATTCTTAAGTAATTTCTAATTGATGTCTAGCCACTTGCTATAGACTGAATGTTTGTGTCCCCCCAAAATTCATGCTGAAACTTAACCTCCAATGTGGTGGTATGAGGAGGTAGGGCCTTTGGGAGGTGATTATGTCATGAGGGCAGAACCCTCATGAAGGGGATTAGTGCCCTTATAAAAGAGGACCCAGAAGGTGCTCCCTTGTCCATACACCATGTGAGGACACCGTGAAAAGATGGCTGTCTATGAACCAGGAAACAGGCTCTCAAAAGACACGGAATCTGCCAGGGTGTTAATCTTGGACTTCCCAGTCTCCAGAATTGAGACTGCTGCTTTATAAATAAGCCACTTAGTCTATGGTATTTTGTTATAGCAGCCAAATGGACTAAGACACCAGTTCATTAACACATATATATACACACATATACGTGTATATATAGAGAGAGAGAGAGGCTCTCTATATAATTTATTGTGTGCTAGGTCTTTTACATGCTTTGTCTTAGTTAATCCTCACAACAACCTTATCAGAGAGGGGTGATTTATTCCCACTTTACAGATAAAGAAACTGAGGCCAGAAAGAGTAAGTAGCTTTTCAAGGCCACATAACTGCTAAGTGGAGATGGCAGAATTCAAACCCAGCTTTGGAAAACCCTTGTTTATCTTATTTTGTTAGTCAAATATTGGCCCCCAAATGATGAATTTCTTTTCACATGAGCATTTGGCATACAGTCACGTGCTGCATAACAACATTTCAGTCAGCAACAAACCACGTATACGACAGTGGTCTTATAAGATTAGTACCATATAGCCTAGGTGTGTAGTAAGCTATACCATCTAGGTTTGTGTAAGTTCACTCTACGATTTTTGCACAGTGACAAAATCACCTAGTGACACATTTCTCAGAATGTATCCCCATCATTAAGCAACACATGACGTATTGAGAAACAGCAAGTATTTTAGGCTTCTCGGGACACGTAACCTCTCCTGCAACTACTTGACTCTGCCACTGTAGCACAAAAACAGCCAAATACAACATGTAAATGAATGAATATGGTCAAGTTCCAATTAAACACTATTTACAAAAATAGGCAGCAGGATGGACTTGGTCTGCAAGTCCAGGCAATAGTTTGCCGATTTCTGCTTTAGACCATGAGTATTGAATATTAAGGTGGCAAAAAGGGTTGAGCTCCTTTTCCTTTATCTTGTTCCTGTGTCAGCCATTCTCCTACCCTGACCTCAGACCTTGAGCCTTCCCACCCACCCTGATCCCCTTCAATGTGTTTTTTTTGTTCTTTCCAAAGTTTCTTCCCAATCTTTTCCATCTCATGTTGATTTCTGCCACTGCTGAATTTATACTTGATTCATCCTTAATGACCTTGCTTTCCACTACCACCACTTCTTCAAACTCTATTCCTCTACTTTTCTGCAGTAATAGAACTAAGGTCTACAGAGAGGGAATTACAAGAAGCAACAGGGATAACGTGGAGGGGGAAAGAGCATGGACTGGTTGCTGAATGTTCCTAAAGGACAGGGTCTAGGAGAGGAGAAAGAAGAAATCTGTAACTACTTTTTTTCCTCTATCTTTTCTATAATCTTCTTTTCACATAATATAATAGAATAACAATAATAACTGACATTTGTGTAGTGTTTTGCTAAATATTTATTTGAACTTTTGCTTTTGTGTTTCCTATCCCACTACTGGTCTTTGGTCACCCATGTAACTTATGTCAATATATCACTGTGGTTTTGTGCCTTTTCTACCTTCTTAGGGCTCTGAGATATAGCAAAGACCGGCCAACATATAGGGAGAACAAGAACAACAACAAAAAAACGTAGGTAAACATGAAGGCCAGAGAAAGGGCAACTTCTTCTTCATGGAGGAAAGCTGCTTATCCTCAAGTGATCACTGTCCTGTGAGCTATTTTCCATATCTGACAGGAAGGTATGTCCTTGTGTCTCACAGTTGCTTCAGTTCTTCTTCTTGACTGGGACCCTAAATATAACAACATATTCAACCCATCAACTTTTCAGACCCTCAACATCCCAGGAGATGAAGCACAGTTTACAGAAAGAAGAATGATGTAAAGAAATGAAATTTCCCTAACACTGATTATAGAAAACCAAGGATTCATTCAATGCCAAGGATAAGAGGGACTTGATCAAAAACTACAGTTAAGATTTTGACCCATTCTCTACTTCAGGGTAACTTCCAGAGAGGTAGCAATTATCTAAATCTATGACCAGCATAATCTATGTGAACGCAACTTAGAACCTGCTGTAAATACATTCTATTTACGTTCATCAAATTAGACAGTAGCTTCTGGGAGGAGGGAGAGAATCTGAAGCATATTTTAACTCAACTTTTAAGTTTTTATAGCTAATGTAAAAGAAATGACACTCTCTGGAGAAATGTCACTATCTGTATACCTGGATCTCTACTTTGGGTTAAAAAAGAAATGACTGTCTTCCCGATGATAAGGATATGAACCCTCTGCCTACCGTACCAAATAAGAACTTCCCTACAAAGTGAGAAGCTGTAACAGGGTTTTGATGAGACAGAGACGGAGGAACTGGATTTCACAATGATTATATTGCTACCCATGCTCAAGAATTTCTTGAATTTCCATAAAACGGTATTAGCGGGGGTTACAGATCAAAATTTGAGATCTCTGGCCAGAAGCTTTCATAATGATCAACACAAGAGATATAAGGAATATTCCTCTACAGCTCAAAACTATGTTATTATGCCAGTAAAATCAGAACCATACAGAATTGGTCCTCAAGCACCATTTTATGGGTTTTCCACCTAAATACTCAGGTATTTAACAGTGATAAAAACCAACTTACATTTCTTCACATTCAGTAATTTTTCAGGGTTGCTCTTCAGTATGAATTCTTTGATGTCTGATGAGGGATGAGCTGCATTTAAAGCTTTTCCCACAGTCATTACATCTATAAGGTTTCTCTCCAGTATGAGTTCTCTGGTGTTGAATAAGAGCTGATGAATGAATGAAGGCTTTTCCACATTCATTACATTTGTATGGTTTCTTTCCAATGTGAATTCTTTGATGTTTAGCAAAATTTGAGCTCCGGCTGAAGGTTTTCCCACATTCATTACACTCATAGGGCTTCTCTCCAGTATGAATTCTCTGATGCTGAACAAGATGTGTGCTCTGGCTAAAGGTTTTTCCACATTCACTACATTCATATGGCTTTTCTCCAGTATGAACTCTCTGATGTTTAGTAAGGGATGAGCAATGGCTAAAGGCTTTCCCACATTCCTGACACTTATAGGGTTTCTCTCCAGTATGAGTTCTTTGATGTTTAATAAGTGCTGATGAATGAATGAAAGCTTTATCACATTCATTACATTCATAAGGCTTCACTCCAGTATGAATCAACTGATGCTGCACAAGATGCGTACTTCGATTAAAACCTTTCCCACATTCACCGCATTCATAAGGTCTCTCTCCAATGTGAATTCTCTGATGTATTGCGAGGGATGAGCTTTCTGTGAAGGCTTTCTTGCATTCACTGCACTCAAAGAGAATTCTAGTATGAGTTCTCTGATGTTTAGTTAAATTAGCTCTGTGGCTAAAAGACTTCCCACATTCACTGCAGCTATAGGGTTTCTCTCCAGTATGGACCCTCTGGTGTCGAATAAGCACTGAATGGTACGTAAAGAGCTCACCACAATCATTACATTTATGAGGCTTTTTCTCTTTATAGGTTCTCTGCTTTTTCATTAAGTTTGATTTCTGTTTCAATCTTTTTTCAAGTGTATGAAAGGCATAGGAGCCTTTGGGAACTCTGTCCTGAGTGAGAAGGACAGATTTCTGACTACAGTTTTTCCAATATACATCATGCTCATGAGCTCTTTCTTCAGAGAGTGAATTCATGTGAGTGAACATTTCTCTCAAGTGTCTTTCCTGATTTCCTTGCTGATCCTCTAACCAATTTTCACATTCAAGAGTTGTTTCCAAGTTGGAGTCATAGACACTATTTCTTGTCAGTCTGTCTATAATTGCAACCTGGCATGATTCCTCTTTAGAAAAATCTTGCACTGAAGTTGCATCTTTGCTCTCGGGGCTAGTCTCCAAGTCTGAAAGAAATCGGAAATGCAAATTTCCTTTGTTTTCTGAAAGTGCTCAACAAAAGGCAGTTCTGTAATAGGTTAGAAGTTAATGAAGGTGAAAAGCATGCCTTCAACAAGGAAGTGGATTTGAGTCTTATAAGATGATTTGCAAAGAGAAGTAAATGGAGGGAAATAAATGAACAGTATATGCAGAGAAAATGAGTAGATCCTATCCAGGAGAGTCAGAATGGGGGAAAGATGACCAGAAATACAGGAGAAGAAGAAGGGATGCAGATGAAGCAATATATCACAGAATAAGCTGGAAATCAGCATACTAGATCAGGATGAGGGAGAAACAACTTCGTACAGAACACCTACTCCAGGCAGTAATCACCTTAGTGCAGAGTACAGTTATGACTTCTAAGTTTCCAGTCACCCAATCCGATTCACATCCAAATAAGCATTCCATTTCCAGTTTAATCTTCCATATCAATGATTTTATAATATATCCCTGATACAAAATCTCCTTTGATCTCCCAAAGATATAATAGTAAACATATGAAATTATATTCACACAAGGCTATTCATTACAACACTAACTGAGGTAGCAAAAGACTGGTAACATCTCAAATATCCTACTATAGAGAATTGATTAAATGAACTATGGTGTATACATACAATGGAGGATTATGTGACTTTTTAAAAAATGAGAACTATCTCTACATATTGCTATAAAGTGATCTTCAGGATATATTAAATAAATTTAAAAACGCAGCAAGCTGTAAATGAGTGTGTATAGTTTGCTACCTTTTGTGTAGAAAAAAAGGGAAGATACACATATATAGACATATTTGGTAATATTTTCCAAAACCCAGGAGAGATAAATGAAACACTAACAGAAGTGGTTATCTGTAGGGAAAGTATCAGAACAGAGAGAGGGCAGGGATGGAAGCTAGACCTCTTTAAGTATATCTGATACAAATATATTAGAATTTTTATATCCAATACAAAACTACTTTATAAAGCTAAAATAATTTAAATAGTGTGGTCCAAAGGAATAAATAGACAGATCAATAAAACAGAAGAGCAAGTTCAGAAATAAAGTCAAGTATAAACAGGAATTAAGGACAATACAAAGGTGATATTTCAATCAATGAACTAAAGATAATTTGTTTTTCCAATAAATGGTGCTATGACTAATTAAACATAGATCTGTCCCTCATTCCACACAACCAAATGACTTACTCATTCTTCTATCTACTCTACCATACACTAAGCTCTGGTCTAGGCACTAGGGAAAAACACACAAAGTCCCTATGCACGTGAAGGGAGAGAGAACTTAGTCTAACATTCACAAATACATATAAAAATGCATCTGTAGTAGGTACTAAGAAATAAAAGTCCAATGATGCTCTGAAAGAATATAAGAGGGGAAATCTAGGGAGATGAGGGGAGGCTTCACTGAGGAAGTAAATCACTGAGCTGAAGTGAAAGTGGGGTTGGGGTTGGGGTGAGTGTTTCAGGTAATAGGTACAAAAGCGCTGAGATGAGCACTCCAGGTAGAGGGAATGACAGTACAAAAGCCCCGTGGTGACAGGGACATCCAAGAAAAGCACGGTGGTAGAGAGCATGAACTCCGGAATCAGAAGGAGTGACTTTAATCCCAGCTCTGCCACTTACTAGCTGTGTGACCTGGGGCACGTTACTTAACCTCTCTACTTCCACCTCGTTGTCTGTAAAATGGGGCAATAACTAACTACTTTATGGAATAAAGGAATAATAACAATTACTACCTTAAGGAGCACTAAATGAGAATATTTATAAAGCACTTGAAACTCTGACACAGCATAAGTGTATATAAGTGTTTGTTAAATAAATAAAACATAAATTGATATAAGGCTAGGATAGGTAGAGATCTCAAAGTGGACCCCAGGTGGACCCCTGGGAGTCTGTAAGTTCAAAACTATTTTCAAAATAATGCTTAGATGTTATTTGCCTTTTTTATTGTCTTGACATTTGCACTGATGTTGCAAATGTGATGGTGGTAAAACTGCTCATGACTTAGCATGAATCAGGACAATGACGCCACACACTGGTAGTTATAACATTCTTCCCCATCATGTACTCTCAGTTAAAAAAAAGAGAGCCAGTTTCACTTAAAAATGTCTGAGGAAACAGTAAACATACTTAATTCTATTAAACTTCAAACCTTGAACACATGCTTTTTAAATATTCTGGATTGCTGAAACGGGAAATATTCATGAAGCAATTCTGTTCATACCAAAGTCTGATGGTTGTCTTAAAGAAAACCACCTACAAGACAGTCTGAGTTGTGATTTGAACTAGCCACTTTATGCATGGACCACCATTTTTACTTGAAAGAATGACTGACAGACAAACTATGTTACCCATGTTGGGTGTTCGGCAAATATTTTCTCAAAAATGAACAAAGTGAGCCTGTCACTTTAAGGAAAACAACTGAAGTATTTGATAAAACTGAAGCTTTCAGGCAGAAATTAGAATTTTGGAAAACTTTTATCTACCACTGATAGCTTGATAGTTTCCTAATACTTAAAAGACTTTTCTGAGGAGGTCAGTGGTGATTTTAAAAATTGTGATTTTTAAAACATTGCATAATGTAATGTGTCAATATTTGGAAGATCTACATAACTCAGTGAACTGGTATTTTCCAAAAGATTAATAGATTTTAATCTAAGAGTATGAAAAATTCACGGGGGTGGTTTCAGATGCCATATTGTATATAATCTTTAAGAAACTACTGCTTGCCCAGTTTTGGTGTAGTATCAGAATAGCCACAATGATTTGAAAAAGCTATAAGATACTCCTCCCTTTTCCAACTATATATTGGTGTGAGGCTGGGTTTTCTTAATACAGGTCAACCCAAACAACACATCCACAACAAAAGGCATTCAGAAGAAGGTGCAAGAATACAGCTGTCTTCTGTTAAGCCATACATCAAACAGATCTGCCAAATATAAAACAATGCCATTCTTTTCAAGAATATTTTTTGTTGCAGAAGAGTTGTTTTCACAAAAATTGTTATTTGTGTTAACATGTAATGGGTTTATAATTGTTATTTTTAAATGAATTATCTAATAGTTGAAAATCTTTCTCAGTTTTTAAACTCTAATACACTAAGTATTGGCAGATGTAACCCACACAAACAAAAGCTCTTAAGGGTCCTCAATGACTTTTGCAGTTAAGTTAGGTTTTATGAGGCCAAAACATTTAAGAGCTGCTAAGACAGAGTACAGAAATGGAGGGAGAGTAATTGTAAGATAAGACTGGAATAATGAGTAAAAGACAGATTTTGCAAGACTTTCTTGGCCTCAAGGATTCTGGTTGTAATCCTAACAGCAATGGAAAGCCATTGAAATGTTTTAAGCAAAAGGGTGGCACCATCAGATCTGTATTTTGAAAACATCACTCTCACTAAGAATGTAAAGAATGGAGCATATGAGGACAAAGGTGGAATCAGGTGGAACAGATTATCACAGTAGTCCAGGCAAACAAAATGGAGATGGAGGGATATTAACAATGAAGAAATAATCAGAATATAATTAGATAAACACAATGATCAACTGGATAAAGGAGAGAGAGGGGAAGTATAAAGACTGTTCATAGATTTCTGTTCAATTTGCTAAGACACTGAGTGTCAGTAAGACAATTATTGGAAAAGGATCCTATCGGGGGGGAGGGATGGAGAATTTGGGGATATATCAGGCATTCGGTTTTAAACACGTTGTATTGAGGTGAGTCTGACGTAAGCAAATGGCAACACCAAATAGTTACACAAACATTCAGACCAGCAGCTCCAAGGAGAGGTCTAGGATGGAAACACAGATTTGGGATTAGTCTAGAAGGAGACGATAATTTGCTTGTGGGAATGGATGAGACTGCCAAAGGAGAAGGCAGAGGCTGCAAACAGGTGACCAGCTGGACAAACCTGACCCTCAGACAAGTTTTGTTTGGCCCAAATTGTTTCTATAAATTTTTGAGATTAGTTACCAACATTTAAAAATAGGAAGATTTCACAGAGAAATTCAAATTTTAAGTTTCTCTCAGAAAAAACTGGAAGCACAATGAATGACAACCACCAATTAGAGCAAAGTTGGCAACTACAGCCCACTGCCTGCTTTTCTAAATAAAGCTTTACTGGAACGCAACCATGTCCATTCTTTCACAGATTGCCTATGGCTGCTTTCAGACTACCACGCCAGACTGAGTAGTTGCAGCAGGGACTATATGTCCCACAACGCCTGATTTACTCATTATCTGACCCTTGACATAAGTTTGTCAGCCCTTGAGCTAGAGCTAACGGACTAATGGCTACTCCCTTTTGGTCGAGGCACGTGCTCTTCCAGTTCACCAGGCCCCACCCTGTTTGCTTCACTCAGTTATATCATCCTGGCCCAGGCAGGCACTCACATTTATGATTGCAGGTACACAGAGGGAAGGGAGATTCAAAGCAAACCTTGAGCAACTCAAACACTTAGTTGTTCAGAAAAGAAAGCTAAGAAGATACAACCAGAGAGGTAGGAGGCAATTCCAAATGGATTAAGGATTTAAAGGGAAAATGAAAGGACAAATATATCAGAAGAGAACAGAAGCAAATAGTTCTGTAATCTTGGGGTAAGAAAGGACTTTCTCTACGCTAACCAAAAGACAGAAAATAAAAGATTGTAATTCATTAAATTTGTATAATAAAAAGAATAGCAAAACCGAAAGGCAAAAAACTATAAAAAAGTCTATAATATAGTAAAGAATAAATAGCTCATATACGAAGAGTTCTAATAGATCACTATGAAAATGGCAATATTTCCCACAAAAAAGGGAGAAGGACGGTGAACAGGCATGTCACAAAAACAGACAGGCCTACGAGGGGAAAAAGACATAGCCACAAACACAAAGGACAATTTCAAAACTCTCTCAGTATTCAAAAGAATAAAAAGATAAAAAAAAATAGAATATTAAGGGAAAATTTTCTTTATGAGATATACACACTGTCACATATAGTCATTAAAACAGTAAGTTATTGGAGCACAGATAGACAAGTAAACCAGAGAGCCTAGAAACAGACCCAAGTATATATGGGACCTGGTTTACCACAGAGTTGGCATTACAAATCAGGGACAAAAGATAGATTTTTCAATAAATGATGCTGGACTATTGACTTTAAGTATGGGCAAAGATAGAATTAGTTCCCTATTTCACACCATATATTAAAAAAAGCTACTTGTAAAACAAAACTTGAATATTTTAGAATAAAGTACAGATTATCTTCCTGACATTGGAATAAGGAAGACGAGTCACAAAAAGCACAAACCAAAAAAAAATTGATAAATATAACATTAAAATTTTAAAATTCTGTATGCATAAGATACCATAAAATAAAATAAACCACAAACTAAAAGAATCAATTTTTTTCTTACTGATTTGTGATGGTACCTCTGTCATACATACTAATGTATCTAAAATCTATAAAGAACTCCAACAATCCAAACAAAGATGTGAATGGTCCAATTTTTAAAAATAGGCAAAGGATATCAACAGGTAATTTACAAAAGAGGAAACCTGTAATAGCTAATAAACATAAGAAATACTCAAACTTACCTATAACCAGAGAAATGTAAATTAAAAAACATGAAATATTATTTCATATCCACCAGACTGACAAAAATTACTAAATCTAATAGCATCAACTGCTGGCCAGGGTGGTGGTGGGACATGGGCAATTCCTAATAAAGCTAACCATGTGATACCTTGAGACTCAGTAATTCTTATTCTGCTTATCTACCCTAAACCAACTTTTACGATGAACATAAGGAGTCAATAAAAGGATGGTCATTGTGATTTTCTTTCTAATAGCAAAGAAATAAAAATAAACTGTTCAGTTTATTCACACAATGGACTTACTCCACAGTAGTTAAAATGAATAAACATAATCCATATGTATTAACACAGATTAATATCAAAATACAAAGTGAAGTTTAAAAAAGTCGGATTACAAAGAAAAAGTATAATTGTTCATACTATATACACATATTGTTTTTTGTACATATGTAGAAACACTAGAATGATTCACATTGTACCAACTTATTTCTAGCGAGAGAATGAAAGGCCTTTAAATCTGTGATATCTTTTATTTCTTAAAAAGTAAAAGATAGCACACACCTGTAAGAATGGCTAAAATGAAGACAGTCAATATTAAGTGTTGATGAGGATGCAGAGCAACCAGAACTCACATAGTCTGTTGGGAGGAATGTAACTAGTACAACGACTTTGGAAACCTTTTGGCAGTATCTACCAAAAGCGAACATGCACCTACCCTCTGACCCAACAATTCTACTTATATGTATATATCCAACAGAAATGCATCTATGTGTTCACCAAAAGACACATAAAAGAATGTACATAGCAGCACTATTCACATAGCCCCAAACTAGAAACTACCCAAATGCCCGTCTCAGGAAAAGGGATAAACTGGTACAACAACATGATGAAAGACTGTACAACAAAGAGAATGAATGAACTACAACTACATATAACAGCATGACGTACCTCACAGGAATCCTCAGTGAAGGACGCCAGACACTAGAGTACATACAGTATGATTCTCTTTACATAAGATTCAAGAACAGTCAAAACTGATCTGTGGTGTTAGAAGTCAGGATAAGGTTACCCTTACAAGGAAGGCGGTAACTCAAAGAGGGCACAGGGGTGCTTCTGGGATGCTGGTAAGGCTGTTTCTTGATCCGGGTACTAGTTACATGAATGTGTTCAATTTGTGAAAATTCACAGAACTGTATGATTTATATTTTTATCTATTTTATATCACAAATAAAGAAAGGAAGAAAAAGAAAGAAAAGAGGCAAATGAAGCAAAATATTAGCATGTGTTTGATTTTGGTAGTGGATACATGTGTTACTTTATTTTCTCAACTTTTGTATGTATTTAAAATGCTATGTAATTTAAAGTATTTTAAAAATCAAAGTATGTAGGCACTTCTAATATTCTTTCTTAAGCACCGAAAAGTGCCACTAATCCACTGTCCTGCGGGGCCATTATTTCTGAAGACTCCTGTCTAGCTGACTCACCTGAATAGCCACTTTTAGGGGCTTTTCTCTCAAGCATCAATGGTTCTTTTGCATTCTCCAAATAGTAGTTCTCAGGCTTGGAAACTGGAAGCCCTGCTCATTAAAAAAAAGAAAGAAAGAAAGAAATGGGACTCAGTTATTTGTGATGGGCACAAAGATCTATCCTAGAGCAGAGTCCTAACTCCTTGATCTACAAAGAAGACAGGATATGACAGGGGGATCTGGAGTAAGGGAAGATGCAACTCTAACTGAAGCTGAAAATATCTGTAGCAAGAGTCTGGGCCTGGTAAGAGCTTATACGCATTTGAAACACAAATGTTTTTGCCTGTCAAAAAAGAAGACAATTTCTCTTTCTTTACTGAGGAAGTCCCAGAGAGATGCTGCAGATAAAAATTCTTAGCTCAGGGAAGAGGGGGAAGAAGCTGGAGAAAGCTGGACCTCAGGGGCAGCAGCACAAGGTTGTGACTGTGGCAACTAGAGTTTTTGTCTTCTAATGTTTTTCTTTTCTTCCTTCTTCAGTTACTAGAACCTGCTTTCTTAAGGAATTTATTACATGAGGTCTGGGAGGGGCTAACATAGTTCCTTCCACCCCTCATGAACACATACACACACACACACACACACAGGCAGGCACAGGATCCAAACTGGCCAGAGTACCCTATCTCCCTGGCTCTAGTAATTATTCCACTGATGGACATGTGACCCCATTTGCTCAAACTCCCAGGATAGAATCATTATGTTTTTTTGCCAACTCTCTAACTGGAAGAATAATGTAATGCTAAAGCTGCCAATGGTCATTTTTGCTACATGGAGAGATCCTAAGAATAAAACCAATACAAGGCAAAGCAAGCCATGTGATAAAAATAAATAAATAAAAGAAATTCCTGACAATATATTTGATCCCTAATCAAGATTTTTTTCCCCTTTAAACTAGTGTGAATTAAGTTTCTGTCACTTGAATTCAAAGAATCCTGATAAAAAAACAAGCATAGACATTTCACCAAGAACCTAGAGCAGAAACAGATTTTTCTCGGGGCCCAAAGGGGTCAACATTTTATGATTCCTCAATGGAAAAGTGAAGGCTTCCTTACGCTATTTCACTTTCAATAAAGTAATGATATCCCCACAAGCAGATTCCAGAGTCACAATGAGAACCCATCCTTACAAAGCGAGACCAGGTTCCTATAGTTCTCCAGCATCACATCCCTTTGTGCAGGATCCAGTTTCCCCCACTCCTCTGGGGTAAAGTCCATGGCCACATCCTTGAATGTCACTGATGCCTAAGACACAAAACATACTTTTGTTCACCATCTTTCACTCGACAGTCTCCCTTTCACCATCTAGTTTCTGTTGGCCCTGAGGTAGGCACGTGAGATATATTCAACAGGGGAAATGACTAATAAATGACAAGCATTCTAATGTATTCACATTCTGAATATTCTATGTAAAGTCACAGGGTATCAATTATGTGCCAGGCACACTGTCCTAGATTCAAAATGAGAACCAAAAGAAATAAGACCATAGTTTCTCCACTGAGAGACTCTAATTCTTCTGGGGAATAAAGAGTTAAAATACGCACCAATGAGTCAACAACGTAGCTCAGCAAAGTAAACAAAATACAGGCAGAGAATAAAAGGCAAGTCTGCATAACTCTCCTTGTGAGTCCTCAATAAAAACTTGAATCAATCTAGCCAATCAGAAGATGAACTGAAATACAGAATTTGTGAATAGAGAACTCACAGGCAGTGAGCACCAAATCCAGTTAATCATGGAATTAAGTCAACGCAAAAAGCATTAAATTAGAAAATGACAGCAACAAATTAAGAGTACTGATAAAACGGATAAATGTTTATGGGTAAATATCATAGGATTAAGTTAATATAAGACCAAAAATACAAAAACTATATGGAGATAAATGCATTATCAGTATCGAACATTTCTCTTTAAGTAAAGCCATAAAGAATGGAAATAATATCCCAAGGTTGTTGAAATAAACATATAGTAAATGCTACAACTGGATAGAAAAATTTCTATTTAAACATTCATACAGCATTTGTAAAAAGTAGCAAAGTAAATCTTAATAAATTCCAAAACAGAAAGAAGAGAGCAATACCAGATGATAACTTAAAAAAAATTCAAAATAATAACAAAATAAAACGCAAAAAGCAATGCCAAATGGCTAAAAATGTCCTCACAGGAAATTTCATGGCTTGAAACACTTCCATTTCATTAAAAACATAACGGAAATAAATGGACAAAGCATACAAGTCAAATTAGAGAAAGAACAGCAACAAACTAAGGAAAACAGAAAGAATTACAGGACAAAAGCAGAAATTAAGGGGGAAAAAATGGGAAAAATAGGACAGCTGGGGAAGCTGAAAAGTTAGTAGGTTACAGTATTATACCAATGTTAACTTTCTGATTTTGGAAAAAGAATAATAAAGCAAGGTAAATGTTAACATTCGGAGAATCTGAATGGAGAGTATATGAGATATCTTTCTACTATTTGCAACATTTCTTTAAATCTAAAATTATTTCAAACTAAAGTTTCCAAAAACGGAAATAATCTGAGACTTAAAAAATACAAGAATCCATCTTTGGAAAATAAAATAAAATGTAAAAATCATTAAGTAGCCACTATACAGACGAAATATTACAAGGAAAAATGATCTTGATCTTACAATCTGACTATCTATGGCTAAACTGACAGTAGTGGGAATTAACTAACAAACCTTTAAAAGGAAAACATCAGAACAATGAAAATGCAAACTGTTGCCTAAAAGACAGAAAAAATACAAAAGAAACAAAGAAAGCATAGTAAACAGAATTATACAAATCACGTGGCAAGAAAAATTTGAAACATACAAGTAATGGTATTAATGGGAATGAGTTAATTTCCCTTATAAAAAGGTTTTTCAAAAAAGTCACATCCTGTTTACAGAAAGGACACCAAACAAAAACCCAAAAGTTGGGCGTGGGGGGTAAAGGGAAGGAAATATGTATACGACATGTCCCAAGACAGTAGTTCAAGCTCAACTAAAACATATGGAAAAATATACATCAAACTGTTATCCTCAGTAGGGAGAGATGGGGGACTGCATTTGGGGAGGTAAGTAATATTATCTTTATATATATCTAAACACATCTCTGTCGTTCATCTGGTAACAATGAGCAAGAATTAAAACTTCAATGTTTTTAAAAATCTACTAAGTAAAGGATAAAAAAAATAGCCCAGACAAATTATAGTAAGAAAGACAGTTGCAATACTGGCACCAAACAGAATCTAACGTAATGCAAAAAGGACAAAGAGAGTCTCTAAAATTTCCATGAAAGGTTTAACTCACTCTAATGCTGTCAAAGTCTTGAATCTAATATCAAAGTGTTAAAATATATAAAGCATTCACCCTTCTTCTGGTAGCTGTATCCTGATTTTTCTCTGGCTACTACACCTGGCCACTTTTAGTCCGTGTAGTTTAGGTAGTACTAATTCCATCTCTGACCCATGGGTGGGATGTGTTTGTACGTGTGCATGCAGGTATATTCTCTAGGTGGGACCAACTAGACAATCACACTTAGATCTGGCCAATAATGGTGCAAGAACGGGCCTAATACCTGTTAAAGAGTTAACCCCAGGACTTCTGTGGGAATGACTAGGAGAGAAGATGCCCTTTCTCTCTGATCTTCAACATGGGAAGATGTAAGCCTAAATTTCTCAGGGGCCGGCACTAGGAAAAAAGCCTGCTTGAGAGCAAAACCCACAGAAAAGAAAAGGTCACTGAAATGGAGAGAATAGGTTCTAACACTCCTGCTTGAGCTCTATTTCTAGCCAGACCTGGAGTTTTCAGTTATGTTGGTCAATACAAACCTGTTTTTGCTTAAGCCAGTTCGAGCTGACTTTTCATCAACTGCAACTTAAAGCTTCTTGACTAATAAAGTCTTCCACACTAATGTAAGGAAGTTGAGAAATCAATGGAGACAAGCAAGTATATAAGGATCCTGAGAAGTCACTTTTACAAATAGCACCAAGGTGCAACATCTACTTTTTACACTTTGGACTACAGTAGCAAAGAGAAAGGCTAACCGAGGAATCTTTGGGTTGTGGCATGCCACACACATCATGGAGAGCTCCTTTCTCCTATCGAACTTCTTGTAATAAAAATTTTCAAACATACAAAAAGTTGAAAGACTAATACACTAATTACTCGTGTAGTATGACCACCACTTAATTCAACAATTCTTAATATTTGCCCTTGCAGTGGGGACTGGAATAAGTTACACACCTGATAACACTTCACCTCTAAAACGCCTCAGCATCCATCATCCATCCTTCCATAGGCCTTCTCCTCCCAGCATGCCTTTGAACTATTTGAGTACTTATTGTTCATAGTTCATTCCGGCACTTTAGGTGCCTTCTTAAATTTCTACTTAGCAGTCCCATGTATGTTGTTTCCACTAGAGAAACATCAATGTTAAGAGGTATGCACCACATTGTCTTTTAAAATGGTTTCCTAAGTTACCATGCACATAAATTAGCATAAGAGGCTAAAGAAAAGTAATGTTCCTTACACAGCCTGTTGAGTGACAACCAATTACGGGATGGAGAAGATACCATGGGTAAGTAGAAAACATCTTCTGAGTCTATTAGTCACCCCAGTGGTCTCTTAGAATTAGAACTCAGCTCTCCAGATGGGCTCTAGTGGACAAACTCCACATCAAAAAGAAGGGAGTGGGGCTGGCCTGGTGGCACAGCGGTTAAGTGCGTACTTTCCGCTTCGGTGGCCCGGGGTTCGCCGGTTTGAATCCCGGGTGCAGACATGGCACCACTTGGCAAGTCATGCTGTGGTGGGCGCCCCACATATAAAGTAGAGGAATATGGGCACGGATGTTAGCTCAGGGCCAGTCTTCCTCAGCAAAAAGAGGAGGACTGGCAGCAGATGTTAGCTTAGGGCTAATCTTCCTCAAAAAAAAAAAAGAAAAAAGAAGGGAGTGCAGCTGTACTTTGAGAAATAAGACGAGCTTTCAATAATTGGTGGACACTCACACTCACCTGGGATCTGGCTGTGAGGCGCAGTGCTGCCACTTCTCCCTCTTCTGTGCTCTTCTCTTGGGAAAAGGACGAATCCTGGGAAGACAGAACTAAGGGCAAGAAGGCAGTAATGATGAGGCCTAGATCTATCTTGTGGCTCAGATTTACAAGTCTAAAAAATCCCTCCACCATACTAATGATGCTCCCTGCAAACACGGGAACTGAAGGGAGCCCCAAACAACCCAGGATCCCAAGGTCACGAAGAATGTCCAGGAATGTTGCTACTTGGGGCTTAAATTCATTCAGTCGCTATAATCACAACACATACCGGAAGACGGCACTCTCTGATCTAGAAATTAGAATAAGTCAGTTTATTTCCAAGCTTAAGCTACATTAAATTAATATCAGAAAAATAGGCTCAATGGTTCCCACAAATCACTCCACAAGCTTAAAACGTAGTTTGCTGGATCCCACCTCCAAATAATTATCATTAGCTGAGTCTGGGGTACAATTATAAATCTAACAAGTACCCCGGGGGTAATACTGATTATAGAAGATCATAGACCAAACTTTAAGAAAGACCAGCCTAGTGGAACTGGAAGTCAGTCAACTTCTTTGCCTGTTTTCTACTATGTAAAACAAAAGAATTTGCTCTACTGAAATCAGAGGATATTGTGAAAAGAGGGATAACAGGTGTGGGAAAATATTTTTGCCAACCAAAAAGCTAAATTTTCAGACTCACTAATCGAGGCTAGGATGGCATAACCATTTGGGAGGAAGAACGTGTCAGAAAAAGTAATTGAGGCTGTGCTCACGCCGTAGAAGCTAACATTTCGCTCACATTTTGGGGGTGGCTTTGAAGGGTTCATTGTTCACCCAGCTGAAAGAGGGGTGATCCCATACCAAGCCCTCCATTCTCAAAGAGCCCATCCATCTCCCAGACAAAGGAGACGGACAGCGCGCTCTGCCAAGAGCCACTTCCCCTGACGCCACTTACTTCCCATCAGGAGGAAGAATTTCGCCCTTCCACAATACAAGTTCAACACTTCAGCAATTCTCACCTCTCTTCTCGGGCATTTCGGCCAAATCTGTGTCCATGATCACCACTTCCTTCTGGTTCTGAAGATTCTGACCTTCCCCCCAATTCAGACCTCTGGACAGAAAAGTGAGAAGCCCCCGAGGCCTCGCGGTCCTCCTTCCTGCCTTTCCTCTAGGAGCTCTGCTGAAAGGCTTCGGTCAGGTAGGGTCACTCTCGAGCCTGGCTCGATCCTACGAGTCTGGAACCTGGAAAGCCGGGAACAGCATCCCTGAGGCTGGGTCCTCAGATGCCTGTGCCCGCTGCTCGGAGCTGTCCCTGGGGGGAACTGAGCGGCTGGAAGAGGTGGCGCCGGGGCTGCCGCCGAGGTACAAGGCGCGGAGATACATCCCGCCGCGCTGGGGGCTCTTCCCCAAGCCCCACGACAGCCCTGCACCCCGCCCGTCGCGCACCCGCCGGCACCGCGCTCGCACCCGCGTCCCCAGGAGGCGGCAGCCGCGGGAGGGATTCAGGCCACAGCGTGAGGGGATGGGGCTCATGGTCTGCCCTCTAGGCCCCTTTCACAAACGCGCCCTCTAGCCCCGACTCGGCACAGATTGATCCCCCGGGGGCCACAACCGACGCGGAGCGCAGAAGAGCGGCATCTTAAACGACCAACTCACCTCCCATCCCGGGCCTGACAAAGGCTACGAACTTCTTAGGCAAGCTCCCAGTCGCGCATGCGTAACAAGGAGCGGGGCAAGGCTGCCGGCCTCATCCAGCCCCGGAACTACGATTCCCAGAAGCCCCTGAGAACTGCCAGACGCAGATTCTCAGCAGGTGGGAGCACACGTGGCGCAGTTGGGAGTATTGAAGGACTAGTGGTCTCTTGCCCTCTCGCGAGATCGCTTGTGTCGGATCCTTTGGATAACGGAGAGCGCCATAGCTAGGGAGCCGGAGCCGAGTCAGTCTTTGTCCGCGCGCGTTGTCTTCAAGTGGGATTACAGCACAGTGCTTAGGGTTGCTGAGGACTTCAACCCCAATAACTGTAATGTAAGATATATTAGTAGTATATAGATTTTTCCATATTTTTTCCTCCCCAAACACATCCTTTCATCCAAACAATGTGAAAGGTGGCTTTTTGTTTGTTTTTTAGGAACAGCAGGTTGTATACTCAATCCGAGGTTCATGCATCCATGGACTACCTGTAATAATGAAAATTCACGTGTGTGAGATAGATGAGTTGAAAAGATTTAGTCAGTTTCAACAAATTTGAGCAACAGATTCTTTGCAGGCATAAAAATTAGTTAAAGCTGATCAAAAGAGGTTATTCTCTCTAGGGAGCATGGTTAGTCTTTCTAATTCTGTTATTGGACTGACCTACCCACCTCAAACTCAAAATGTCCAGACTGCCTCCCTTAGTGAATGATATCACTGCCGACAGACTCATTTGCAAAAGCCAGAACCAGAGTATCCTCAACCCTTATCTCGATTTATCACCAAGTCCTATTCATTATATGTCTTAAATAACTCTCCAGTTTGTCCATTTCTCTATTCCCACTAGCATTACCCTAGTTCTGGCCAAGATCATTTCACTAGGGTTACAGTCACAACCTCCTAACTCAAGTTTTCTTTCCCACCAGTCTATTCTCCACTCTTTCCTGGCCAGTGATGGTTCTAAAGCAAGAATATAGTGTTATTTTACTACTTAAAACTTGTCAATGGCTTTCAAAAACTGGGGAAAGATGATTTTTAGTTCCGACGAGAAGGCACCCCTTTTCCAGCTCCCTTTATCCGATGCAGCTCCCACTATTGGAGCCTCCTGGTATTCACACCTTTATGTAATACCCTCCCCTTGAATGTAGATGGGACCTGTGACTCACTTTGAACCAATAGAACAAAGGTGACATAAGATTCTAATGCTTGTTTTGCTAGGAGACTGCCTCCTTAGTGGCTTTGATGAAGCAAGCAGTGATGTTGACTCACATGACGAGGGACTGTGGGTGGCCTTGAGCCAACAGCCAGCAAGAACCTAAACCCTGTCTACAACCCCCAGGTACTTGAAAGTGGATCATTTCTAGTAGTCTTCACATGAGAACTCAGTCCTGGCTGACTCCTTGATAGCTGGCTGCAGAGGACCCAGTTAAGCTGTACCCAGACCATCCACAGAAACTGTGAGATAATAAATGTGTGCTGTTTGGAGTCACTAAGCATGCAGAAAAAGATAGCTAATACAGCATCCTAACATAAATGGCTAGCTCCTTTCCCCAAACCCAACCTGGAGATCCTCTGGAAGGAGGGAGGTTGTTGGATTGAGAAACTATTGAAAAATTGATTGGAACCCCTTTGGAAGACAGATGGCTACAGTTGGTCCTAGGGTATGTGGGTGGGGTGGGAATGGCAGCAGCAATGGAAGACTCCTAGATGCCACAAGAGGACTTGGAGGAGGTGCTGTAGGGTGTGGGGGTGCTTTTTAGTGTTTTGTTGTGCTCCTTTCTGTCCACTTCCCACGTTGCGTTAATCTTTGCCCACTCTTTCACCATTGCACAGGGTAGCCTTAGAGCTGGGCTGGAAGAGGAGTGAATACTAGCAGAGAGAAGTAGATCCACCTCAAAGGGTTTTATTCATCTTCCTCCCACCCTGATACACACACACACACACACATGCACACACACACAAGCCAGGTGATTACTGCAAAAAAGAGGTAGAGACAGGTTCTTTGAGGGATAAGATCACTTGGTGGGAAGAGGGTGGTAAATGGGGAGTGATCCTGCCCAAATTTTAACACCGTAGATTCTCTGCTTTGGAAATGACTCAAATCCCCCTAAGTGCCCCCTGCCCACATACATACATATGCTTCATCTACAGTGTGTGCCCTTCCTAGTGAGTTGAACGTGGTATAGGAAACACCCCAGGGTTTTGGTTCCCTTCCCTCCCTGTATTACCACCTTATAACCTGGCCTCAGGAATATGGGCTCACAGGGAAAAAAATAAGCCATCTGAATAATTCTGTTGCTATAAAAGAAAAGCAATAAACTGAACAATCTATAACAGATAAAACAGAATTACTGGATGTAGCATAAGCCCTGACAGTTGGGTTTTTTTTTCCCTTTTTTGTAATGCAAGTGCCTGACTTAAGCTTTGATTGCCGACGCATCCACTTCAAAGAGGCATCCACTTTAAAGAGGGCTATCTCAAGTAAACACCCTGCCAGCCACCCGACTAGATGAAGAGCTTCCCTTCACTGAGGCTCCTTTGTTTTAGAGATCTTGCTTGGTTTCAATAACTGACCATTTGAGCTGCTTGTTTTCTCTCTTGCTGTGCTTTAAATTCCTGCTCTTATGTTTTAAATTCACCAATAAAGAGGGAGCCTATGAAACCCAAGACCCCACCATCGACCCCAATAAAAGCAGAACCTCAGGCCCTTGCACTTGCTCTCTCTTGCTTGCTCCCTCCACACAACCTCACTGTGTGGCCCCAGGTGTGCTGTGTAATTTCCAGGTCCTGTGAATAATAAGCCTTTATTATTTCAAACTTTCCTGATGGTTATTGCTGGAGGGCACCTTGCAGTCATAATAAGAACTACAAGAGCCAGTCCAACCACAACGTTGATTATTGATAGGCTGGACAAAATGCTGGACGATTTCAAATAAATTATATGTTGTGTGTTTTTGTGTGTGTGAGGAAGATTGGCCCTGAGCTAACATCTGTTCCAATCTTCCTCTATTTTATGTGAGATGCCGCCACAGCATGGCTTGAGCGGTGCTAGGTCTGTGCCCAGGATTAAAACCTGCGAACCCAGGACTGCCAGAGCAGAGCACATGAACTTAACCACTATGCCACTGGGCTGGTCCCAAAATATATGTATTTTTAAAAAGCTATCCTAAAAGAGATCCAGGAGGACACAAGAAATGTTAACAAGAACTTGTCATAAAAAGAAAATTATGTGTGAAAAATATAGTGGTTGAAATAAAGTATTCAATACTTTATTGAATAGCAGAATATGTAAAACTGGTGAGTGTGTTCAAAAGCTGGACTATCACTTCAAGGAACTCTGCTCTTCCTTAAGACATCAGGAAGGGATAAAAAGTTGAAAAACATGAAAGAAATGTTAAGCATATGGAGACTGACTAGATATTTATATATTGAGAGTCCTGGAAGGAAAGAAAGAATAGGAGAAAATATTTTAAGAAGTAATAACCAAGAATTATGGAGAAATAAAGAGAAGTTAAAAGAACTTACATTGAAAGTGCTCATAGAAAGGCAAACAGGAAAAAATATGAAAAGACACCACATATTATAATAAGATCTAACAACATAAATAACAAAGAAGAAATTCTAAAACGTTCCAGAGACAAAACACAGATAACCTACAAAATGCTGCTTTTTGTTTTGTTCAATGCTAAATCCCCAGTGTCAAAAACAGTGCCGGGCATTTCATGGCCTGTCAGTAAATAATAATTGAATAAATAAATCTGGTTTGTCAGGGCCAGCCCAGTGGTATAGTGGTTAAGTTGGCGCGCTTTGCTTTGGTGGCCCGGGGTTTGCAGTCGGATCCAGGGTGCGGACCTACACACTGCTCATCAAGCCATGCTGTGGTGTCCCATAAACAAAATAGAGGAAGATTGCCACAGATGTTAGCTCAGGGACAATCTTCTTCAGACACAAAAAAACTGATTTGTCAATAGTAGTACTGACTGCAAGAAGAAAAGGTATGGATATTTTTAAACTGTAAAAGATAAAACTTTGAATCTAGAATTTTATACAGGCATCCCTCAGAGATATTGCACACCACAATAAAGTGAATATCACAATAAAGCAAGCCACATGAAATTTTTGGTTTCCCAGTGCATGTAAAAGTTATATTTATACTATACTGTATTCTATTGAGTGTGCAATATCATTGTGTCTAAAAGAACAATGTACCTACCTTAATTAAAAAATACTTTATTGCTAAAAAATGCTAGTCATAATCTTTTTGCTGGTGGAGGGTCCTGCCTCAATGTTGATAGCTGCTGTCTGATCAGGGTGGTGGCTGCTGAAGTTGGGGTGACTCTGGCAATTTCTTAAAAAAAGACAACAATGAGGTCTGCCACATTGATTGACTCTTCTTTTCATGAACAATCTTCTGTATCATGTGATGCTGTTTGATAGCATTTTGCCCACAGTAGAACTTCTTTCAAAATTGGAGTCAGTCCTCTCAAACCCTGCCCCTGCTTTATCAACTAAGTTTATGTTGTATTCTAAATCCTTGGTTGTCATTTCAACTATCTTCACAGCATCTTCACCAGGAGTAGATGCCGTCTCAAGAAACCACTTTCTTTGCTCATCCATAAGAAACAATTTCTCACCTGTTAGAGTTTTATCATGAGATTGCAACAATTCAGTCACATCTTCAGGCTCCACTTCTAGCTCTTGCTGTTTCCACCACATCTGCAGTTACTTCCTCCACTGAAGTCTTAAATCCCTCAAAGTCATCCATGAGGGTTGGAATCAGCTTTTCCAAAACTCCTGCTTATGTTGATATTTTGACCTCCTCCCATGAATCACAAATGTTCATAATGGCATGTAGAATGGTGAGTCCTTCCAGGAAGGTTGTCAATTAACTTTTCCCAGATCCATCAGAGGAATCACTATCTATGGCAGCCATAGCCTTATGAAATGTATTTCTTAAATAGTAAGACTTGAAAGTCAAAATTACTCCTTGATCCACGGGCTTAAGAATGGATGTTGTGTTAGCAGCATGAAGACATCATTTTTCTCATTGTATGTCTCCATCAGAGCTCTTGGGTGACCAGGAGCATTGTCAATGAGTGGTAATATTTTGAAAGGAATCTTTTTTTCTGAGCAGTAAGTCTCAACAGTGGGCTTTAAATGTTCATTAAACCATGTTGTAAACAGATGTACTCTCATCCAGGCTTTGTTGTTTCATTTCCAGAGGACAGGCAGAGTAGATTTAGTATAATTCTTAAGGGCCCTAGGATATTTGGAATGGTAAATAGCAATGACTTCAATTTAAAGTCACCAGCTGCATTAGCCCATAACAGGAGAGTCAGCTTGTCCTTTGAAGCTTTGAAGCCAGGCATTGACTTCTCCTCTCTAGCTATGAACGTCCTGGATGGCATCTTCTTATAATAGAAGGCTGTTTCGTCTACACTGAAAATCTGTTGTTCACTGTAGCCACCTTCATTAATGATCTTAGCCAGATCTTCTGGATAACTTGCCGCAGCTTTTACGTTATCACTTGCTACTTCACCTTTTACTTTTATGTTACCTAGAAGGCTTCTTTCCTTAAACCTCATGAACCAACCTCTGCTGGCTTCAAACTTTTCTTCTGCAGCCTCCTCCCCTCTCTCAGCTTTCACAGAGTTGAAGAGAATTAGGGCCTTGCTCTGGATTGGGCCTTGGCTTCAGGGAATGTTGTGGTTGGTTTGTTCTTCTATGCAGACCACTAAACACTAAACTTTCTCCATGCCAGCAATAAGGCTGTTTTGCTTTCTTATCATTCGTGTGTTCTCTGGAGTAGCACTTTTAATTTCCTTCAGGAACTTTTCTTTTGCATTCACCACTTGGCTAACTGGTGCAAGAGGCCTAGCTTTTGGCCTGTTTTGACTTTCGACATGCCTTCCTCACTAAGCTTAGTCTTTTCTAGCTTTTCATTTAAAGCGAGAGACATGTGAATCTTCCTCTCACTTGAACACTTAGAGGTCACTGTAGGGTTATTAATTGGCCTAACTTCAATATTGTTGTGTGTCAGGGAATAGGGAGGCCTGAGAAGAGGGAGAGAAGTGGGGGAATGGCTGGTCAAGGGAGCAGTCAGAACACAGACAACATTTATCAGTTTAAGTTCACTGTCTTAGGTTAGCATGGTTTGTGGCACCCCAAAACAATTACAAGAGTAACATTAAAGACCACCGATCATAGATCACCATAACAAATATAATGAAAAAGTTTGAAATATTGCAAGAATTACTACAATGTGACACAGAAATATGAAGTGAGCAAATGCTGGTGGAAAAACGGCACTGATAGACTTGATTGATGCAGGGTTGCCACAAAACTTAAATTAGTAAAACATGCAGTATTTATGAAGCGCAATAAAGTGAAGCACAATAAAATGAGATATGCCTGTATTTTACTTAAGTATCATATAAATAAGGCAAAATAAAGGTACTCTGATTCAAACAAGACCTTGGAAATATTCTTGGAGGAAATATTTCAGCAAGAAGGAAAAAAATTCAGGAAGATGCTTCAATATATAAAGAAATTAAAGGTAAGAATAATTAAGTAAAGAGTTTATTATCATTTTAGTAATCAAGGAGCAGAGGTAGTGAGACAGGATAACAACTACATGGACATAACAATCCAAAACTAAAATTTTAATGATACCATTGGGGATGAGGGTGGGAAGTAGATATGAGAAAGTAAGAGTAGCTGGGTTACTTGTCTTCATTAGGGGGAGGATATACATATTCACAAGCTTAAAGAATGGTTGGGGACGTGGAGAAGAAACATAGGTATGAATTTTAATAAGTTAGGTACAAGTACCAGGAGAATAAAAGTAGGATGAATGACATTCAAACCAGAAGAAAAGAGTTGATTATTCAATGAAAACCCAGACAAGAGGAAAACCAGAAACAAAAAAGTATGGTAAAAAGAAAACACAGAATAAGGTCTGTTATATAATTTATCACAATAAATGTAAATGGGTCAAGCCCCCCCATCAAAAGGCAGAAATCTCAGTTTGAATTAAAAACAAACCAACCAACCAAAAAACAAAACAAAACCCCAAGATGCAGCAACATGTTCTTTACAGAAGATACACTGGAAACCAAACAACACAGAAAGATTAAAAACAAACAGATGGCAAAAGATATACCAGGCAAATATGAACTAAAAGAATACTCAGATAATATTATTAATAAAATTAAATTCAAAAGAAAAACATCATAATGGACAAAAGAGGGACGTTATATACTTGTAAAACTCATGGGGAGAAGTATAGTCAATTGTATTTACCCGTATTTCTGTTCTTTCCATTGTTCTTTCTTCTTTCACGATTCTTCGTGAGTCCTTCCTTTGTTATTTCTTTTTTGTTTCAAGAACTTCTTAGCCATTCTTGAAGGATAGGTCTGCTGAGCAACAAATTCTTTTAGTTTCCATTTGTCTGAGAATATCTGGAGTTCCTTTTCATTAATGAAGGATGGTTTCACATCCAGTGAATATATCCAATTCAATTCATGGTTGACAGGTCTTTTCTTTCAAGTTGGCAGCATTTGAAAATGTGCCATTTCCTTCTGGCCTTTCCTTTCAAGTGAGAAACATGCTGTCATTTAAATTGGTGTTCCCCTATCAGTAAGGTGACATTTCTCTCTGCTGCTTTCAAGATTTTTTCTTTGTCTTTAGTTTGCAGAATTTTA